ACGCAGTAGACACAAGGATCGAGGCCAGAAGGCGGCAGCGCGGTAGCAGCGGAGTATAACCAGGCTTGGGCTTAGCCCTATTGGTTACAACAACGGACTGGTACGCAGTAGACACAAGGATCGAGGCCAGAAGTCGGCAGCGCGGTAGCAGCGGAGTATCGGGGAGACTAAGGGGTTGAGGGTCCCGCGGGACTATCCCCCTCAGTTTTGTTGGGGGAGTCTGGTCGCGGGGCCGCGCCTCAGGGCCAGGGGAGGGGGCGTTGGTGGGGCCCGTGGACCGCTTTTTCTTTTTGTCTAAGGCGGTCCCCCTTCCGTATATCTGGGGATTATTTAAAAAATTGATTATTCTATGTCTATTTTTCTTTCTTACTCTAGAGTTGTAGAGGGTTGGTACTGCGCCATCGGGGCCGATCGCCTGGGCCGCCGGCCTGGTGAGGTAGGGAGTGGCCTTGAATTGCTGAAGTGGGGGGGGCAGCGAGGAATCGAGTGTTGTTGATCCACCCGGGGGGCTGCCCCAGTTGAGGAATAGGGCGACTGTTAGGGATCAGATTGGCGAAGAGGGGGATCGGCATAGGCCAATGTGCAAGCGTACTCCTGTGAAGATCCGGGAGCGAACCCGGACGGGGGTCGCGGCCTGTGCCAAGACTGGTGTGTATAAAGCGGAGGAATCCCTTCCGGAAGGGAAAGGCGATCTGTGACACGAGGAAGGTCCACATGGCCCCCACGGAGAAGTGGTATCTAGGAATGAACCCGGATGAGAACCGGGTTAGGGGCGTGCGAAAGGCAAAAAAAAAAAAAAAGGGGGGATCGTCGTTCTAGATTTAATAATCTTGTGCTTCCTTCCTTTTTTGTCTTTCGAGATCGACCAACTTGCTGACGCGTCAGTTGGGGAGAAGGGGAAACGAGGGAGGTTGTTCGACTACTGTATAAGTCCGGAACGAATCCGGACGCAGATCGCGCCGGGTACGAGCAAGAGAGGTAAAAAAAAAGGGGCCGTGGGGGCTTTGACTCGAGGTAGCGCTATTTGGGGCATCTGCTGGATCCGGAGTGGTAAGGAGGAGGTCTGTATGACCCCTGCGCCAAGCTGGCGCATGTAAGTCCAGGATTGAACCCGGACGCAAAACGAGACAGGGGTGCAAAAAAGAGGCACTGCCTCGTGCAGGTCCTTCAGGACATCTGTTAAAAACTGAAAAGATACAGAGAAGATTTGCATGGTCGACTGGGCAAAGACGATGTGCATAGATCCGGGATGAACCCGGACGCGGATCCGACCCCGAACGTGAATACAGAAAATGTAGCGAAGAAAAAGGGGGGGGAGCGTGTGGCCTTCGGCGCCACTTCGGAACACTGCCGCGGTCGGAAGTCCTTCGGGGCATCCGTTAGATTGCCCGTATAAGTAGAGGAGGGTCCGACGGCCGAACGTTTTGGTTAGCATTCAGGAGCCGTCGGACTGTGTAGCTCGGGACGTCAATACTGGCTGGAGGAACGCGTAGCGGAGGAAGACATCGCACTGGGCATGGGGAGCGAGGCAGTAGAGACGGGAGAATGAACCTAGGCGCGGGGGTGCGCCAGGTACATCCTGCATAGTGAGAGGTGGGGCACAGCGAGAGGGGTCACCACGCCTGGTTCTCCATGGAAGCGGACGGGCGAGTTGGGTGATGACGAGTTGGGCCGACGGGGATACGAAGGTAGGGAGAACGGTCGATACAGTGGAGGGAGAGGGCTGAGTGAACCCGGATGGGAAGATGTGCTGGGTGCGTACGAAGCCAGGGTGAAGGTGGCGGAGACGAGGAAGGGGAGGTGAAGGAAGAAGATCGGTAGCTTGCCCGATTCTCGACGGAATCGGGCGGAGTGAAAGCCAAAACTTAGGTTCCGGGGTCGGGCGGATCTAATGGCGGGTTCGGAGTTAGTAGAAGGTCTGTGGAGAACGAGCTAATAAGAAGAGGGGCTACGCGGGGTGATGGCGGGAGCAGATACGGAAAGGGGCGAAGGAAGAGTATCTCGCTCATTTCCCTAAGGAAGTGGACGAGGTAAGGATTGATCCGGGGTTCTTTGCCCGGGCGAACTGCATGGTGGAGTCAAAATTGACGTCAGAACAACGGAATAGGGGTCAGTAAAGAAAGGGGGGTGCTCTACTCAGGCGGCGGCATTCCAGGTTGAGGGGTACCGATTCGTCGTTTTACGACTTGATTTCAACCCACTTTCCATACTCAACCTAAAAGGCTTTGACCCTGGTGATTTTACTGTTTGTTAAGGGTTTCACCCAGACTTTTATTGAATGGCAATTTAACAAAGGTATTGAGTATTTAATTGAGGAAGGTTGGATTGGCGATTGGGGCTTGCATGGCTAAAGCGAAGGGGTATGAGCATAGAGAATGGTTGGGGTTGACTCCGTGTAGTGCGTGTTTGTCGTTCGATTTCTTGATGTGATTGCAGGTATGTCCTGTGGCTCGGATTTTGGATTTGGATTGTCTGCGAACCCATATACATATACATGGTTGTGAGGGGTCCCACTGTGCCTGTGAGAAGTGATCGTCGCAACTCTATCCCCCTTATGAATGTGTGCGTGGGTGTGCTTAGGAGGAATGTTTGTGAGGCCTAGGGGGCCCCACGTTAAAAACCTGTTCAAAGGTTGAGATTGAGGGGCATAGGGAAAACCCTCCCTTCTGCCTGTTTGCGTCTTGGGGGTTTCTTAGTCGGACGTTGGTCCTGGGCCGAGATTTAAGGTCCTTGTCCAGGACATCCCAAGCCCTAGACTCTGCAGAGGAGGAATTTCCCCTCGTACAGAGCCTATTTGCATTGGTCGTCGAGACACCCCACCCTGAAGGTGGAAGTGCCGCGAGGGCCGAACGGCGTGTCCTTCAGCCGTTCAATATCGTGAGTGATCCCTCACGATATGTTCCTTCAACCATTCAATATCGCACAGGCCGGAGCCGCGATTACCGCGTACGACTGACATCGGTGGTCGGTATAGAATTGGCCTGCGGCCGCGCAGCTTTATGTTAAAGTCCTGCGCGCGGTGTTTCGCCGCCCCAACTTCTAAAAGTTATGGGATCGTCGGGCTCGCACGTAGGCGCAACGCTTGGGATTATTGTAGGCCGCCGGACCACCCGTAGAGGGGAAGGGTACCCCAAGGTCACAATTCTTTTTAAAACAAGGGGACCCTTGCCCTATTCCCTCTTCTTGTTTCCGTGTGTGTTTTGTTTGCTTTTTGAGGATTATTATGGTTGGACGTTATAGTCTGTGGCAACCGTCAAAGTCAAGCCCCTTAACTTTCGCCCAGGCCCGGGAGAGACTTACCCCTAGGACCGCGAGGAACGACCACCACCACAGGTTCTGGACCTATGTACCACCCGCTCTGCACAGAGTGCAGAAGAGGGTGTGTGATCTTCAACCGCGCATGGCGGTTGTCCAGCGTCGGGAGATTAACCCTCAAGGCGCGTGTCAGTCGACACTTGAGTGTCGAACGCGACCCTCGCGATTAGCGAGGACCGCCTTAGTATGGGTACTACATAGTACGCCATCATTGCGACTGTTTGCGTACGCTTGCATTGCGAGTCGATATGAGTTAGCCCTCTTGTTAAGTCTCGCGCGCAATGCCTATCCGTGTCGAGGTTGATCCAACTCCTGCGTGACGCGGCCGAGAGGGTCCCACATTGCCGCGCGCGGTGCCGGACCGATGCGCACGACAACGTGGATGTTCTCACAAGGATACCCAAGGGGAGCTACTTCATCACAACATTCAACAGGACGGCTAGCACGGACCATCCCATCAAAACAGTCCTGACAAAGGTCATGCTGTCCACATGTCAAAAAAACAGCAAGACGTTCATCACAGTGCGGCATCATGCAGTCCTGATAGCGTCCTTGAGCACAAAAGGGACAACGAATATCTGGGTGACAAGGATGTGTACAATGAGGAAACGTTGGACACCCTTCGGCACAGACGGCGGTGGCTGCAATAAATTGATAATGTTGTTGGCATATGTGATGAATTCCGCAGCCAAGACGCACCGCGTCCCTATCCTGACAGGTGTCACACGAGAGTCAGTCAATAATCCAGGATAAAAAGTATGATTCGGCAATGCATACAACAATTCATTTATGTTGAAAATAGCCTGAATCATTATCCCACCATCCCACAGTTCCCATTGGGCAGCTGCATGAATAAGCGCCATATAACATACAATGCCCGGGTCTGTGCAAAGTACAAGCAGAAATGTGACGATGGTCATTAAGGTCATCGCCTGGCGTCGCATGATGCATCATAAGGTGGCGACGATGGAATGCAAGCTGTAAGACATTTACAATAAAGCCTCCTGAGGTAGTATAATTACTACCTTCAGGAGGTGGACCATTGTGGTCATACAACAACTGATTTTCAACAGCGTCAAGCTGATAAGCAATCATGACAAAATGGGAAGCAGTATAACATTGACACTGATAAGCCGGTAGGCAGACATTTGTGGCTGTCAATCCACCAGTATTTGGTAGATCTGCCCTCAGATCCGATTCGATCACCACTGAAAAGCTAGATCTGATCTGGCAGGGTCGGCGCATGAATGACGAACGTCGTCGACATGGCAAAGCAGGCTGTCGGTGAGACAAAGAACCCCGCAGATTAGCATCAACACGATGTCGAGAGGAAGTGGGACTTGGAGGAGGAGAGAATGAACGAACCTGCCAACGTCCCAATATGGACGACGAAGACAAAGGAGGGGCCGATCTCAGTCGGCGTGGGGGCGCAAATGAAGAAGAAGAAAAAGAAGAAAAAGAAAAAGAAGAAGAGGAGGAGGAGGAAGAAGACAAAGAAACGGATGATGGAGTAGAAGAAGGGGAAGTAGAAGAAGAAGAAGAAGAAGAGGAAGAAGAAGAGGAGGAGGAGGAAGAAGAAGAAGAAGAAGAAGAAGAAGAAGAAGAAGAAGAAGAGGACGCTGGCAAAGAGGAAGGAGATGGAGAGGGAGGCGGAGAGGGAGAGGAAGGCGGAGGGGAAAGCGAAGGGGAAGGGGAAGGGGAAGGAGGAGGAGGGGGAGGGGGAGAAGAAGGGGGAAGTTGAGAGGAAGAGGGGGAAGACATAGGAGGGAAGATGGACAAGATGGGGAGCGGGAGGGGGGAGAGGAAGGCGGAGGGGAAGCGGAAGGGGAAGGAGAAGGAGGAGGAGGAGAAGGAGGGAGAGGAGGAGGAGGAAGTGGAGAGGAAGAGGGGGAAGACAGAGGAGGGGAAAACGGACAAGAAGGGGGAGGGGGAGGCGGAGGAGGATGACAAGATGGAAAAGAGGAAGGGGGAGGAGGAACGGGGGAGGGAGAAGGAGAAGCGAAGGAAAGGGGAGGAGAAGGCGAAAGAGGATGATGCACGGACCAGCAAAGCATACGTCGAAACCATTGTGTAAGACGAGTTATATGTATAGGTTGTCGACGTTGACGAGCACGAATGTAACAAGTCCAATGTAACAAGTCCATCCTCGGGCCAATGTCGAAGGAGCATGGCCACGGGAAAGCAAACGACGGACAAGCATGGTTGCCGCGGTTCTGAAATCATGCCAATTGTCACAATCTGCTCAAACCTCGTAAGCTGGCCGGTGAACACACCTGTAGGCTAATAAGACATAATGTTTGACGTAGCACTGGGATATCGTATAATAGGAAAATCCAATGCAACTGTCTTGTCAAACACACTCAATCAGAGAGATTTGTCTGCTCGTGTCTGCAGCTTCGCACCTAAAAAGGTGCACGAGCCATCAGCCGCAATGGTCTCCTTCCATTCAAGACCATAATAGGTTGGCGATGGTGGCAGGCAACCAAAGGTAAGAACATCATCAATGAACCGATAAGTGAAAACATATCGGCGAGCTGCAGAGGGATCCACACGCTGCAGGTTGTCCACGTACTGAGCCTCATCCCAATAGAGTGTGATGTTAGCAATCTTAGGACCAGCGTTTGTACCCATGGGAATACCAACGTCTTGATGATGAACAAGGCCATCCACTGTATATAAATATGTACTAGTAACAATAAACCAAAGATGTTGAAGAATGTCAGACACAGAAAGAGTGTCAGATCCCCTATCCGTAGTCCATTCCTCTGCACGCGGTCCACGGACCACCATACGAAGAGCAACACAGGACGAGCGTGACCGTGTATGTTGTTGTGCCTGCGCAAGAGCATAGGCATGTGCCTCATCAACAGCCTTAGCAACATTATATAAATACTACTAAAAAAAACAGCGGGTCTCGCGTGACGCCCCATGCGAGACCCAGTTCCCAGCTCGGGGGACTAGGCAGGCGGTCGATGTGACGGGTGCCAGTGAAACCGGCTGGGCCCAAACGAAAGCGTGGGGCGAACAAGCCAGGCGGGGCCCAGACGAAAGCGTGGGGCAAAGGCAACGATCTCGGAAAGGTGGGGCTGCGAGGAGCGTTGTGGCTGGTGACCACAGAGCGGAGCATGGGCGCGCGCGCGCGCGAGAGAGAGAGAGAGAGATTATGACGATGATGATGATGCTGATGACTGCTATTTTGGTTGTTTCTGAATGTGTATGGTGGTTAGATACACGCACTCGAATTTGCCATGATTGAATCAGCCGCGATTTTCACGGTTGCTATTTTGTTCATATCTGGACATGATCGTGGTTAGCTACATCTACTCAGATCTGCCTGTCGGAATACATAGACAATTGTTTCGTGGGGCATACTCTCTCTCTCTCTCTCTCTCTCTCGCTCTCTCTCTCTCTCTCTCTCTCTCACACACACACACACACACACACACACACACGACGGAGCACAACAAACGCGAATTAGGCTGTAAATACCATCCAAGCAAATTAGAAATCATTGGAAAGTCTTGCCAGAGAAGGTGATAGCCCTGTATATTTGATTTGTCCAACGATTTTCATTTCAAGAAGTAAAACATGCGCGTCGTGTTTAAATGTTGTAGGAGGTTTGAGCTTTGACCATTAGCACAACTATATTCTCAGTGATGTGGTAGATAGCCTCAATCTGGACAAAGCAAGAGCCTACTTATGGTCAGACAACCCAAACAAAGAATAATATATATCGAAGATAGCTTGACACTACATCACGAGAAAACCATCTGAAGGGGAACTAGGAATAATTGATCCAAACAGGAAATGGAAGCCCTAAAGGTGAAACTCACAGCCAGCGTCGTTCCGTTGAGCACTATTTCGATGCGATGCGGTAATTTTCATGCACGAGCAAAGTCACGAATTTTCGCTCCCTGTAGGAATCCACCGCGCGCGCGGAGATGTGTGCTTTCCTTCAAAATTTTGAAGTACGGTGTGAGGAGGAGCAAGGGGCAAGAGCTCGGAACGCCACGTCACGCCACACCTCCGGATGTGGCTTCTCCGAGTTCAACAAAAGACAAACAAGCACTAAAGAGGGAAAGCGGAGGGAGAGAGAAGGGAACATTAGGTAGAGGAAAAGGGAAGCAAAATGTAACTAAGAATGGGAAAAGACAAAGGAACTAGAGGAAACCAAGAGGAGGCAAGGGAAGCGAACAACCTTCCTAACAAAAGGAAAGGGAAAGGAGAGGATGAGACAAGTGAGGCAATCACCGTGCATAGAGTAAGGAATGGACACAACGCAGTCCGCATAATCATTTGCGCCTCACAAGGTGGGAGGGGTTCGTTTGCCATTCAAGGTAAGTCTCGACGATCTTCTCGAACTTCGAAGAGAACAGCGTAAGGACAAGCGAAGGAGCACATCATACAAGAGGAAGGGAACGACAGTCGTTCGCAAAAGATCGAGTGCTTTAAACGTAGCAAGAATTATTACGAGTGTCAGCCTAAGCATAGACAAGCTTTCCATACGATTTAGAATAAACGGAAGAGACGCAATCTCGAGTGAGGTCCGTCACTAGGCAGACAAGCAAAGCAGACGCTGTAAGGGAAGCGGGTAGTAGGGTTGTTCATACATAGACTACCAAAAGAAGCTTTCTCATCGCCTCTTTAAAAGATTTAATCCCTTCTAGCTACATTCAAGAGTGTTGTGATCCTGGATGACCAGACTTTCCGTCGTCGATAGCAGGAGAGAAAGCGTTTAGGTCCACCGCACCCACCCACCCCTCAATCATTCCCGCTAAACACCCCCACTACCACCCCACCCTCTCAGCCGGAGATCCCGCATCAGGTTTTATTTGTCCCCTACTTCCATCATAATACCACACCCTCTACCAACACATCACCTTGCCACCCTGCTTTCATCACCCCCGCCAACACCCCCCCTTGTCATCCACCCCTACCAAACTGCCAACCTTCTCACCCAATTAAATATTCCTAGTCGAGTACGATCGAACTTTGGCGATCCCTCGTCGGAATAGCTTTGTCCAAAGCTTTCCTATCTCCACTTTTCGCGGCCCCGATCCCCAAGTGGGGAGGGGGATACACTGCCATTTTTTTTTTGGCTTTACCCCTCGTATAGTATCTACACGTCTCCTGTTCGCTACCCCGATCCCCAAAAGGGAAGGGGGACCTTTGTTCAATTATTTGGCCACACCCTACACCGTAATTAATAAGTATTAATAATTTAATTTAACTTAATTATTAGTTACACACTGGTTGTTCATTTATTGCTTAGGTACTGACCATTTTTTCGATCAGTGCCCTCTCATCAGTGAGATCCATGGCAAATCATCAAACCGCGGTGAACAATTTATAACAGTCAATGGCAAACAAACGGATCCAAAAGAATTGAAAACAAAAAAGGACGAATCTTGAAGAAATAAATCATCGTAACGCAGGAAATTGTGGAAGACAAACACCAGAAGGACACGATGCAGGAACTCTTCAAAATGGGCACCTCAACAAAAAAAGCCTGAATTGAGAATCTGCACGCAAGGGGAAAACTGCTTCGATAAGGCAAATCACCGAACCTACAAGAAGATAACAACAACGAACCCCATCAGTATTAGTGTGATAGCACAACAAACAACTCTCCCAAACTACTCAAGTGGAAAGCTGGCTAGACCTCCCCTGGCCCCTCCACACACAACACAACAATGAGCATGATCAGCATGATACATATGTTACACCACTTGCAATCATGTTGATTTTATTAGACAACAATTTATGTGCCATTTGGGGCACCGGTCCATCTTTTGCGACTAGAATGCCCATATATCGCGTGGGTGCCTCAAGTCTTTCTCATGTCGTTTCTCTTTCCGGGCCTTGGAGGATTGACTCTTCAGATAACCACCTCCTTATTGTCTTTTCCAAATTGATCTTCGTCTCCGAAGCTAGTCTGAAGGCCTCGGTTGCCCGCACTTATGTCTTAACCCGAAAATAATGTACGTACGTTCTATTCAACTTTCCTCTGAAAAATGGGTCCTCAGAAATCGCTGTTTTTTTTTTGAATAAAACGTACGGTCAACTATAATGTACCTACGCTGCATTCGATTAACAACGTATGTACGTTGTCTTCACATTTGTGGAAATGACAATTTTTCAAAAACATCAAAACAGTTTGAAAGAAACAAATGTTGCATTGCATTGCAATACAAACAACTTTTGCTCGAGGGTCATGTCGGTACGGGCCGAATACCCAAACCCGAACGCCCGAACGTTCAAGACACCCCCCGCCAACACGTTCAAACTGAAAGTGATTATTATTATTATTTTTGTTTAACGAATGAATTGCGGAGGGGGGGTTCTTCACACAGCATATTTTCTTTATTAAAAAACAAAAGGTAGGCATGGAGGCAAGTTGCCTGCTGAACGACAAGAACCCCTCCGCTGTGGGTATGTGTGTGTGTGTGTGTGGGGGGGGGGGGGGGGGGGGGGGAGGGGGCGAACCCCCCACTATCAGCTAGCCAATCAATCAATCAAAAAAGGAGCGAACAAGTGTGTGCCCGTGTGTGTGTGTATGCGTGCGGGGGGTTTGGGCGACCCCCTTGCTACCTGCTAGCCAATCAATCAATTAATCAAAAAAACAAAGAACGTTGAAAAAAGAAAAAGACGTGAAATATCATGCGTGCGCATGCATGCGTGCGTGCGTGCGTGTGCATGTGTGTGTGTGTGTGTGTGTGTGTGTGTGTGTGTGTGTGTGTGTGTGTGTGTGCGCTTGGGGGTGGGCAACCCCCCCCCCCCCTACCAGCTAGCCAATGAATGGATGAATCAATCAATCAATCAAAAAATCAATCAATCAATTTATTGATTCATTAATTTATCGATTGATGGATCGATTGATTGAAAAATTAATCGATTAATGGATCGATTGAAACATTAATNGGGGGGGGGGGGGCTACCAGTCAATCAATCAATCAATAAAAAAAACAGTAAAGTTAGAAAAAAAACTTTAAAAATAATAAAAAAAATTGCCCCCGAAACGGGGTTTGGTGGGCCCCGAACCTCTTTGGAGACGGGTCCCCAGCCCCTCCCCGAACGGCCGAACGTTCGGCAGTCGAGCCAGGGGCCTCCAAACATTCAG